GGACATTTTGTTTTTTCATGATGAGTCATTTCGAATACCGACACGAATATATCTCCAAGATTTGAATTTCTGAAGTAACAAATCAAATCAGTCCATGAAACATGCTTAACAACTGCATTTAGACAAATTCTGTTGCGTTGACATACACGAAAAAACACGTCTATGACTTAAGTGATGATGGATGCATTTGGACACCTGTGAAGTCTGCCAACCAATTTTGAACATTTAATTGGGATTCTTCCATTTTTTCTTTTCAGATAAAACTGCTCGTGAAACTCCTTCTTGATTAGGACAAGTGCAATGCATTCTATCAGTGCTGTTTGGGGGCAAATCCCATGATTACCAGATTTTAGTATATAAATCAAGGATCAAAATTACGTTTTTGAAACAATCGAAATGTCTCTGTTTCTAAGGAGATCGAAATCCTAATAGTGTCGCGTAATATTGCAAAGTATTTTGTAATGTTTCAATGTATTTGTATAATTATTTTGAAATATTTCGAGATATTTTGATATATTTTGACTAATGTTTTGAAAAAATAAATTTAAAATTTTTTATTTTTTTATATAATTTTCAAAACGGGTCAAAACGTTTTCGAAACACGTCAAAACTTTTCCGTTTTCTAAATGACCAAAACAATGCACCGAAACAAAATTTTGATCGTTGATATAAATAAAGTTTATTATCCAACTATACTTGTTTTGAAATTTATTTACCCAAATAGTAGTTTTAAACTTCTCTATTCACTGAATGTATAGATATTTTCCACAATGTTTTAGAGCATAAGGTAAATTGATCACGCCTAGTACATAGAACTCTCATTTATAATAGGATCTGAGAGATGGGTAATCAACAGACTTACTTTCATTTGAATACGTTGATTTCTGGATTTGAATATGTGATATATTTCTTATGCGAACAATTGTTTGTTATTGTTGCGGGTCTAATTTAACGATACTTACACTGACTTTTTTGTTTTTTCTTTAATGTTAAACAACCCCTATTATTGATATTTGTAGAACAAAATGAGATGATCCCATTTCTAGGGAAAAATCCAAACATATCCTTGGCCATAACTACCAACCTTGGCATGGCAACATGAATGAGAGACAAGTGTGCTCAAGTTAATGAGAACTTATCAAGGTCCCATGTCAGCTACTTTGTTAAGCTATTGAATTTATGGAAAGTCAAATAAGAAAAATATGGGCACTGGCCCATTTGTGATGTGTGTGTGTATGTAAGAGAGAGAGAGAGAGTTCTGTGGGTTAACACTAACTTATTCAAGTATTAGATAATAGGAGAAACTGCAGTCTTCTTCTGGTTGTCTTCAATAATACAATCTGCAATTAATATTTTTTTCCCCGATATTAAGTCAAAATCTACTTGCTGCACTTTTAATGGTCTGTTTTCCATTGTCAATTATGATTCATTTCCTTGTGAAAGTTTCTTTTTTTGTCAGCATATTGACAAATTTCAAGGGTCAGTAGTAATCCCCATCTTAGGAAAACATCAAAACTTAGGAAAGTGTCCATCTGGAGGAAGAAAAATCAGACTTTTTCGTAGTTTTGAAACTTAGATTCTCATAGTCTTTGCAGGAAAACGTATTACTTAATTAAAGTCGACTCTTTTTTCATATGTTTACGGCGTCTTTTGACATAAAATGAGAAGTTTCATTTTCATACTTTTATGTTACACAAATTCTACAATAACACAACTTATAAGCAGCGATGGATCCAGAAATTAAGTTTTGGTGGGAACAATTTGGACATAAGTCGGGACAGTTGTGAAACTTTAAAAAAAACTTGGGTGGACGTTTTTTTTTTTTTTTTGTAATTGTAAGAGTCACTTAGTAAATGCTA